GAGGCACATCCTGGAGATGTGGATATTGGGAAAATGATCCCAATCATTAATCAGCTTTCAAACAATAAGGTCATGTGAGTTCCCCAGCTCACTGCTCTTATACTGCTCTAATAGGTTGGATCCTGTGCAAATCAACAGTTTGCTGGGACTCTGAATGGGAATAATTTGTCTTATTTTTCCTCTCGTGGGGTGTGTGCTGGGCTGCCAGCAACTCGGATGATGATATCAGTGAAGAAAAGTCTGAGAGCCACGACCCAGAGCAGATCTTTCAGAACATCCAGTACCAGAAGGAGATTATGTCCAATATCCGCTGCCGACCATGGCCAATGAGGCAGAAGCTAAGGGCACTCAGGTAAAAGTGTCTGCACAAAAGTTTTCAGGCTCACTGACTGTGGTGGTGCTTCCAGCCTCGGGAGTTTTTAAGTGTAAGCTGGAAGGGTTTGCACACAGAAATGATTAAGAGCTGCTAGGAAAGCATGCCATGAGGGTGCTCTGAGGAGATCAGAGAGCTGGCTGAAAGCAGCAGACTCAGGGCGGACAGTCTGTAGGTGAAGTTGTCTCCTGTGTGTGCCTATGGCTCTCTTTAGACAGTCACTGCACAGAGGAGAGAGCAAGAAATCATGCTCTGGCTATTAACTATGAAAACACTGTGTCAGCTACTCAGTCGTCTAAAGAAACACTGTTAATAATATATTTTTAAGCTCAATTTTTTTCACTGTGTCCCAAAAAGGAGAATCAGTCTGCCATTTTTTAAGGTAGTTGCACGGTATGAGAACATAAGCTGGTCATATCTTCAAGTAATATACTGTAAATGGCAGTAAACACTGGATACCTGTAGGTTTAAAAGATATGGTCAGTGTAGTAATAACATGTTTCACAGTTTATTATGATATTAATAAGTCCAAATTTATAATGAAAGAGGATCTGCCTAAATCTTTGGGTCACCTGTCTAAATTGTGTGAGGTTTTTCATCACATGATCTGTTTGAGGCTTGCTTTTTATTTTTCCTCCTTTTCATCTGGCAACTTTCTCTCAAAACCCTGTATGATGTTTAGATGGCAATGTAGCCATGAGGAACTCCTACCTGCAGTAGAGTCTTCGTGTGATCTGGGAAGTAGAGAGGGTTTTCTCTCCAAAGCAGAATATGTGGCTTGCTGCCTTTCTGCTCCTGTTGATGAGATCTTCATGGTCCCCATCCACCTTCTGCTGAGGTCAAAGACTGTGTATGACCAGATGAACATGCACCTCTTTGCATCTTACAAAAGAGCTACACCGTATCTGCAGAAGAGGTGTTAGCATCCATATGAGATTACCAGACTGTAATGGGGATTTTGTTATTTTATTCATTTGGGTTGTGCCATTTTAAAAGAAAGACTTTGAAAGAAAAGGACAGAGAAATAAACTAGAGGAACAGAAAACCCTTCCTGCAGTCAAACCTTTGAATGCTGAGTTGTCACAGATAAAATTCTGAGTGATTTAAAAGTATAGATAAAAACCTCAATAGTCAAACAAAAAAGGCATTGCCTGGATAAGGGGTTAATGGTGAGACAATCAGAGCATTTGACAACTTTGCTAGTTGCTGCTTGTGCAGAATAAGGATCAATGGATCAATGTAGAATGAACCTCCACCTTCTTGTGCAGGCAGGCGAAGGAGATCGTGCTGAAGTACGAGGGGAGGCTCACCAGAACGAGAGGTTACCAAGCTGCTGGTGCAGAGGTATGGCTGCTTTTTCTTCAATCTCAGCTCTTGTCTATACCAGTAACAATTTGCAGTTCTCATTCACAGAAACATGTGTTTGCTACGTGGTTCTGATCCTCCAGCTCAAGAGACAATTTGCAGTTCTCATTCACAGAAACCTGTGTTTGCTACGCGGTTCTGATCCTCCAGCTCAAGAACTTTGTGGAAGGAGGAAATAGCAGCTAAAATCTGCCTTTTCTATTTCCCCCCATTGTGAATTTAATAATTCCATTTTTGCAGACTAATTTGATGTGTTGGATGAACGTCCTTCTATTAATGCAGCATAAGCTTTCTTCTCAAACAGTCTACAGATGTTGATGCCTGCTAGAGGGGCGTGATGCAAATAGGATATCAACAACACAATGCAGTATTCTCTGAAGAGCTATTTCAGCAGACTCTGGGGCCACAGTTCAATAGTTTAGTATGAAAAATGCGTCTAGCTTTTAGTTTGGAACACAATCCTACAATAGCTTATGGTAAATACATTGTTAAGGAAGGTTTTTTGCTTGCCTAACACTCAAAGAATTTGAAACAAATCTTAGCAAATCTATTTACACCACTGAAAATAGATTCTGGCCTGAGTTTCTGGAAGTTTATAACATGCAGGAAATTGTATCTAATATGCAACCAACAGAGAAGACCTCTTTGTTCATCTAAGCAGTTGAGAATATTTTTGTCATCATAGTAAGCAAACTTTTAATAACTAACTTAATTAAAAAAGACAGGGATGTACCAATAAAACAGAACACCATGCATTTTATTCATGTGAACAAGTGAAAGGCTGCATATCTATCTGTTGTTCTGCAGAGTTGGCCTACAGCATGTTAAAAGTATTGCTTTTCCACGTAGAAAGAGTAAGTTTTCTTTGTTCTGCCTTTGTGTGTGTGGCAAGTGCAGTGGAAGTAACAAATGCTTTTAAAATAAACACTGCTTTTAGCCTTTGATGTGAGTGGCAGTAGGATATTAGCTGGAAAGAGGAGCACTAAGAATCTGCAATACATGCCAGTAAATCAGAGGCTGGGCTCAGTTCTAGTTCATATTCTTCTTCCTATACAAAACCAAAAGCTTTAATCTTAGAGTTCACAGGGAATAAAAGTTTATATCTAATCTAATTGCCTTTGTTGCATTTGCCTGAAGATATTCAACAAAGGGATATAATTGAGCAGTTAATTAGCACTGCTCATTATGTGTAGGGGATCTGTGTTCTTTTTTCCTAGAACAAATTAGGGGATATAGCCTTTACATCGGGGCTACATTCAGCAAATGCAACAGAATGTGGTGCTTTTTTTTTTTTTTAATTGGAAGAGCTTTGTTTTCACATATTTTCTTAGAAAACAGCATGGTGACCAAGGAGACAAAAACTGCAGCACAGCAAAACAATCACTACATCATCAAAATTAAGAGCTCAGTGGTTGAACATGTGCTAAAAACAAAATGCAGCTGTAAGTGTATATGTATTTGAGGTTTTTTAATTGGCAGAATATACACTGTTCATGATTGGACAGTCCACTCATGCTATTATTTATGAAAATGGAAATTAAAATAACTTTACTTTCTTGACACTGAAAGCAATTTTCCTTTTCAGTTTGACTACTTTACACTTGCATTGTTTTTTGTTGGGTTTTTTTAATTCTCAATTAATGCCAGATGCCCACACTCTGGATTCTCAGAGTATAAATTAGCTGTTCAGATATGCAGTAGGGAGGAAAACAGGTGATAGCTATCAAATTATAATTTTAACAACTACTCCCACATGGGCACCTTCGCATTCTTTGTAAATCTGCAGTACAACTGGCATAAGCTGCTGGAGCCTTTTTTCCACCCTGTGAACACTGTTTTCAACTGAAAGTAGCAATGCCCATGAAATTCCCATGAAATTCCCAGCATCTACAGTTTCTTTGTTTAATTAAACTTCTTCCCATTCATGCATTTAAATACCCATATCACCACAAAAAAATTAATTAACTTCGGCCAAGGAGATTTATTATATTTTCAGTAATTAAAATGTTATTTACTCCTCTTTGCTTTTAGGAGATTAGACTACATGATATAATATTGACACTGCTGCTGCCTAAAGGATAGTTGGGGTTTGTAATACCTGGCTGTACTAAAACCACTTCATAATGCCTGAAATACAAATATTACTTTTTTTATATTGATACTGTCAAGTTATACCTCTAATTCAAAAACCCTAAAACTGCACTCAGTTTTGCACAGGTGTATTTTGTTTCTTCTCCCACATGTATGTGCACACCCTGGTGTGTGTAGGAATATCCTCTGACCATGCAAAAATGGAAGTTGAATAAAGACTCCACAAAATATAAGCACAGGTTTTTCTGCAGGTGTCAGCTGTAATGCACAGAGCTGAAAATACAGCAGTTGCATTTGCTGGTGTTGAATACAAAAGCTCATTTTTCCTCTAAGCCATTATACTCCTCTTAAATCTGAAGTTATTTCTCTGTTCATTTGTTTGTTCTAGAAATCAAATTTATTGTGTGCAGTGTAGAGGGATTCCCTCATAAATTACCCAGAAGGTTTGGTGTCCCAGCAAAATATCCAACTTCTGCTGCCTAGAGGCACTGCCCAGCACTGCTCTGTAGTCCCCCAGGCCTCAGCCCCCAAACAGGGAGAAGGCAACAGGGAAAGGAACCCACTGGCTTCCTACTGTTGGTTCCTCACGATCTTTAGGTGTAAAAGATGCAGACTGGTGGCTCCTGACTGTGCCCTGAGAGGTGACTAAAGGGTGCTCTGTCCCACCTTTGCTGACTTTTAGCTGGTAAGCAGAGTCAAGGCATCCTGTCCCCTACATGTGTTGTGGGTTTCTAAAACCTATCATGGTTTTAGAAAACCTCTTACCCATAGTCATGCTCTAAGACTTTAGACAACAATGTTTGTAATAATTCTTGTAATACAACAAAAGACATGAGCAAAATACAGCTTTATTTTGTTTTTTTTTTTACAGAGGTGCCATATTTCTCATTTCTCTGCTTTTTTTCTCAGCTTTGGAGGAAGTTTATTCGACTTGCTTATAATTTTGTGGTAATCTTTATTCCTTGGGAAATGAGAATAAAGAAAATTGAGAGTAAGTATAAAGATGTAACGGCATTGAATTATAAAACATTTGCGAAAATGCTGAGTCTTATGGTTGATTTTTTTAATGTACTGAATTAAATATTTGAGAGGGAACTAAATGCAAATTTTAGTAAATGTTTTGTTTAAAACTTTGCTTTTTCTGCTTTTTTTCTAGTGCCTTAGACACTGCACAGTTCTCATCTGTGTTCTTACTGGGGAGTAACTTTTGAAAAAGTCAAATTTGCCCCATTGTGGTTCTGAAAACACAGCAAGAATAGGTTTTGGTTAATCATGGTCCATGGACCAGCATCTTTGGGCCAGTATCCCCAGATCTGCCCAGGGTTCAGTGTGATTGTAACCTGCACCACCAGCCCTTGAGTCTTTCAGTGGACTGAAATCAGCCCCTAACATTCCATCAGGAGCTGGGATGCCTGATGTCTCCCAGCTTAGCAGCTTCTTGCACAAGTGCTGCTGGTAATTGAGAAGTCCCCAACAGAGTCTGTTTGCAATTTTATTCTCCTCAATGTCATGCTAACATTTTCTGTACATTGCTGTATGCCCTGCATGAATAAGAAAGGTTTTTCTTTTGGTCTGTTATTCAAATAATGCTTCATAAATAAATGATATAAGCTTTTTCAGACTGTGGAGCTCAGACAACTGTTTTCTGTGGTTTAAGGTCATTTTGGGTCTGGAGTTGCCTCCTACTTCATCTTCTTGAGATGGCTGTTTGGAATCAATATTGTACTTACCATAATGACAGGAGCATTTGTAGTCTTACCAGAGGTAAGGACATGTTGTTAATATTTACAGAGAAATGCTTATTGTTGCACTTTCCTTTCTGAATGAAACAAACACCACACTTAAAGACATGCATCAATCTGAAATGTATGATTTAAAATGAATTATTTAAAATAAACTCCCCTGTTAAGAGGTTTTGCTCTGCCAAAGGATAACAGATTTTGGCTATTAGTGTTAAAGATGATATTTTGTCAACATGGTACTAATGCTTTTAGCAAATATGTTCGTATCTGATTACGAAAACAGAGAACCAATTCCTAAAAGCTGTAGTTGGTGTTGAGTATATTCAAGTCCTGTTAGTGTCATTTACAAACAGAAAAACATAACATCCCTGTCCAAACTCTGGATTGTTGCCCATTAGAAAGCATTTCCTAGAAGTTCTGAACAGTCACAACTTTGTTTAGTTCTTGCATGCAAGTAAGGCAATTTGTGCTTCAATAATGTCATTGGAAAACATGGGAATATCTGATTTTTCTTCTCATTGCCTGAAGTTTAAAAAAACAAGTAAATACCCCAAAACCAAACAAAAAGGAAATGGGGGAGGAGGGGAAAAGTATTCACTTTCATCTTTTTATAAGGAAAAGTAAATTTACCCCGAACTACCATTTTGAGATCAAATCTTGTCATAGTTAATTTAAAAATGTTTACGTTAAAACAAGGATAACTTTTAAAGCTTTTTTGTTAATGGTTTCTGTTGATTCTGTTTTCAGCTGTTTTGAAGACATTTACAGAGCACTACATTTCCTTGTAGGTAGATCACAGATAGCAAAAAACCAAAACCCATGGTTTAGTGGAAAATGAATACAGAACTGCTTACTGAGCTCCTGGTTTAGAACTAGGAATGACAGTACTCTCTCCCCTGATGCCACCATCCATGTGGGCAGCCCTTGGTGTGGGTTCCACCATTCAGTCCTGGCTCAGACAGGCTTGCACAGCTTACAAGACCTTCTGTCTCTTCCCCAGATACTGGCTGGAGCACCATTCGGCAGCACGGTCAGCAAGACCATTCCCAAGGAGCGCATTGCATCTGCTCAAGACCTGGACACCATCTGGTCACTAGGGGCAAGACTCAAACCACTCTTTATTGTTTCACTATCACTGTTGTGTTGTAATGACTAGTTACTGTTCTTACTGACAGGCTCTGGTCTTTGCAGGGCTACCTCCAGTACTCTGTTTTGTTTTATGGCTACTATGGCAGCGACAGGAAGATTGGGAAAGCAGGATACAGGCTGCCTCTTGCCTACTTCCTGGTTGGAATGGCAGTGTTTGCTTACAGCTTCATCATTCTTCTAAAAAAGTAAGACCTATTTATTGCTGTTGAGAAGCTCATTGTGTGTTCCGGCAGTCATTAGTGGTATTTATCCCACTTCCTCTGGGTTCATTCTGCATCGTTCTATTAATCTGTTCAAGTCTGCTAATATTAGGGAGGCAGACTGAGTTTAGTTCTAGCTTACTCTTTATCTTGTTATCATTCCCTTTCCTTTCTTCCATTTCCCAGTCTATAAAAGGAGGGCAGCGCAGCTGATGTTCTGTGTGCTTTGTGTTTGTGTAGTATAAGGTCTGATGCTCGTGGAAGTCCTTTCTGTTCTCCTCTTTTCTCAGCATTATTATTCCTCTCTATTGAAATGCAAATAGAAAAATTCCATCCTAGGTGTAGTAGCGTTTGCGTTGTTCCAGCAGGTATGTGGCAGCACATCGGAATGTAAGCTGAGTTTCTCTGCTGCTGAAGGGCTAAGTAACTCCTACTGTTGAAGTAGGAGTTACTTAGCAGAGGGAGCAAGACTGCCAGTGCTGACCATAAATCCAGGGAAGTGCAGTGCTAGGAGAGGGGCAAGGTCACTCTATCCTCTCCTGATTGGCCTTCCCTTCCCTTCTGGGTACCTATTTATCTGGCACAGTGCAGTTCAGTGACATTTTTAGTGCTGCCTGTAATAGCTCTCAGTTTTGAAGTCTATCCTTCCCTTTCTATTCATTTTTATTTTACCTGCTGGTTTGTGACAAGGGTCACTGGTATGTTTGACACTGATCTATGCATCCGTAGTTTCTGAATACAATTAACTCTTCTCCTTCTGACTTAGCTCAGTGACTCTTTGCTTAGCTGCATAAAGTTCCTCTTTAACATTGTCCTTTCAGGTGCCCTTTCTTTCATAAGCTATTAATCTTCATTTCATTTCTTACACTTTGCAATATTCTGCCACCTTGTCTACCTGAGATGGGTAGGTGGGGTTTTCTTTCTTCTCCCAAGGTCAGTAAAATGGCCCTGGGTTTCTATTTGGCAATAATGCATATTTTGAGAGTGAAAACAACACAGAAAAAGGACAGATCTTGTGCATGACTACTAGTTATGCCAAACTAGCTTGTAATTACAGTAACAGTGATCTTAGTGATGGTAACTTCCAGCTGGATCCTACTTGGACATCACAGTTCTAGTGAGATTTATTTACTTTATTTCTCAGCTATAAAGATTATAAATATCAAAATTCCCTCCCACAGTGAATCACTTCTGCACTAGATGTAAAGTGAAGTTTAAGTGCTGAACCTCACACTTTTTTATGTTCTTCTGAAAGTTGCTAACAATGACACTAATTTCTGCAAACTTTTGGTAGTACTAAATGCATAGACATCTGAAAACTATGAACCAAACCGGTGATTTCCTTCATCTTCACATACCAATAGCAGTTAAAAATTTATTCTTTTTTTTTTACAGAATGGCAAAGAACTCAAGAATGAGTTTAGCAAGTGCCTCTGATGAAAATTACACTTTCTGTTGGAGACTGTTCTGTGCTTGGGACTATTTGATAGGAAACCCTGAGGCTGCAGAGAGCAAAACTGCTGCCATAGTTAACAGCATTAGGGTGAGCAACAGACCTTCGAGTTATTTCAAGTTGATTTGCTTGTTAATCTGTAAACCATGCAAGTTTTTTCCTCTGGTTCCCTTGTGTTTCCTCTTGGGTTTTGGTATTCATTTACAGATCTGTTTGCCTAGGGGAGGGCTGGTATCACACCTGTGTGGTATTGCAGGCACATCATATTTGCTGACGCTGTCATTCCGTCCCAGCAAGGCCATTGTGTCCTTCTGTGGGAGAGTTTCATTTAATGGCACTGTATATGTGACAAAAAGCTACATAACAACAAACAAATTTGCTTGTGATGAAATTTCATTGAGTGTAAGAATCAAATTTGTGTTGAAAACCGATTTGACAGGGAAATATGCAACTTTATAAGATGTATAATCATTTTTATGCAAAGGAAGTGGTTTATGCCTTAGGGATTCCTTCGTAACAGGGGGAGAAGCAGAATCACATCTCATTTTGCAAGATGCTTTTTAAAATGGTAATAAGTTTTATATCTCTCACTCTTAAGGTTTATAACTTCCTGCACACAACTCATTGTTCTTCTTTATTTTATCAGCTCTTATTCAGGCTCCACAGGGAAGTGGTTATGGCACCAAGCCTGTCAGAGGGCAAGGAGCATCTGTATGATGCTCTTAGTCAAATGGTTTGGTTTAAAGTAGACTTGTGAGCAGCAGGGAGTTGGACTCAATGATCTCTATGGGTCCCTTCCAACCTGAGATATTCTATAATTCTATGGTTTATTTCATCTCTATAACTAATGGAGGGACATTTTCTAGGTCTCTCAGTATTAGAAAACTGCTATAAATACAGAGGTTTTCCATTTGGAATTGAAGAGCATTTGTGGTTTTATCAAAAGTGATTCATTTTCCAAATTCTACTTATTCTCATTAATCCACTGAACAAAATTACTTCAAATTATGTTAAGGCTAAATTAATAAGCTCTGATATTTTGATATTTCAATGACTGATGATAATTTCTAACAGTTCTGTATTATATTAATGATGCCAAGATTCTATAGGCACATCCTGCAAAAATCTGGCAGTGTGCACCTCTGGTTATATCCCTTTGGCAATGCATGACTGAAAGTGCACAAGTATCTGATTACTGTGTATTTGTTTCTCAGAAATCTCCTTCACTACTTAAGCTCACATATCACTACTACAAAGCAATGAGGACAGAGAGGTATTTATCTGCTTGCACTTCCAGGATGTGAATTTTTGTATTATACTTTAATTTCTGTGAAAGATGTGCATTACTTTTGCTGAATGTTATTAAAATGGTAATGCTGTGTTTCTTTCAAGGAAGCTATATTGGAAGAGCAGGAAAAGAAGAAAAGCAAAAACTTGTATGTATATAAGATCAGAGGTACTTTTCAAAGCACTGTTTCAATGCAGATATCAGTGCTGATCTGCTTGTCCCATATTTCTAAATCAAGTTAGAAATGACTCCTGTATTGGTTGTATCTTTCTTTTTTTTTCTAGGGCAGTGACTATAAGCTTAAGAATTATTGCAAACATCCTTGTGCTTCTCTCACTTGCTGGAAGTATTTATATCATCTACTTTGTTGTGGATCGGTCCCAAAGGTTAGAGCGCACCAAAAAGGAATTGACCCTTTGGGAAAAAAATGAGGTACACTGTCTTTGTGCCACCTCTGTGTCAGAATCAGGATTACTGTTTTAGGGCTTTCTGTAGCAATAGCATACAAAGAGATTTAAATCACAAGAGATGAGCCAGAAGAAATGAGGAATGAGAGAGCAGTGGTGCTTACCTGGATCTGTCTTCGTGCACTTACTCCCTCTGCTCTGCAGCCAGATGTTTGTGGAGCTGAAGTGGGCAGGGGGAGGCTGCAGGTCCTCATTGCACAGAGACTGCAGTTCTAGCAGGTCCCTAGTTTGTGAGAACAAAGCTTAAACACTCCTGTCCCTTACAAATCTACTTTTGCACCCATGATTGAGCTGAGCAAACACTGGGCTGACGGACCAGAAAGGAATCAGCTTTGACAACAGCAATTGATTCCACCTGGGGGATACTGAGTGTTCTGTGAATATTTCCTTCAGAGGAATGAGAGAGTAGGAAGTGAATAGGTATGGAGAAGCCACTCATCCATTTCTGAGGGAAGATGCTGGCTTCCTATTTCCCACATGTTAGCTTTTTATTTCAATTAAGAAATTAGAACTTTAAAGCTGCAATATCTAGAGCATAGATTCCTGAGTGGTATTCCCGATCTATAACTTTTCATCATAACTACTGTTAATACTAATGTCAATAATAACTTTATAAAGCATCTTTTCCAAAAAGAGCAATCACCAAAGCATGTGCCTCTACAGGATTTCAATCAGCATTCAAGGTTTCACCGATGATCTACATCCAAAGCTTCAAAAATCCTGCATCTTTCTATTCCATAGGTAAGCGTAGTTGTGTCACTGATCACAATGATTGCACCCTCTGCTTTTGAGTTGGTGGCAGCTCTGGAGATGTATCATCCAAGGACCACTCTTCGCTTCCAGCTTGCCAGGTATGGGCATTATGCAGTGTAGAAAATATGTGGTGGGGAAGAGGAGAGGTGTGTTCTGGTCACATAATTTAGTACAGCCAAACCAGAGAATATATGAGATGTCAATGGGATAACAGTGATGATAACCTGCACTTTATTCTGTTTTTAGGGTTCTTGTTCTATACCTGGGAAACCTCTACAGTTTAATCATTGCTCTCCTGGATAAAGTGGACAGTATGAGTGGCACTGTAAGTTTAACTTGATGTTTGCTGATGTGTAAAGCTAATAGACTTCATAGATAGAATTCCATTCATTGTGATATATATGAAGTCAGATGAAAATTTGAGTAAAACATATAACAGTTTGATAGGACTGTAAAGTTAAGTTGAGTTAGCAGTGTTCATTTACAACTACATATAGTTTTTTTAATTAGTTTTTATATTAGTTTTTTAGGATAACTGGATCCATTTGATTGCCGATGTAACGAGATAAATAGATGTTTGTGCATTGCTGAACTAGTAAAAAAAAGCCAAAATGAAAAGAAAAAAAAGCCATAATTTAGGCCACATACTTCCAGCGACCTAAAATCAGCTTTCAGTCCTGTCCTGAGTTCCATCTGACTCTGTATGTTGACAACTAGCTGATAGTCACCTAACTGCTGCTTGAAAATATATGAAGAAATGCCTCTGTGTATGCTGTAGGTATAGGTACAGACATCTGCACCTATGTACATTTAAAATGTAGCTTCGGGAACATTTATTATTTCAGGACGTTAGCAACAATACAAGTAATTCTACCACCTCCTTAGCGACCAAAACTCTTTCTAAGAACGACGATTTTACTATTCCTGATGTACAAATTAAGAGAAACAGCATTGTCACCTTGGAAGAACATCGCATTCAAGGCTTGATGGTCTCTGACTCACTGGTTAACAAAACAATTGCCTTTAACACTCAGAACCAACAAGATCAGTGCTGGGAGACCTATGTTGGTCAGGTACGTAATTGTTTTATTATGTCATCAACCTATTCCTTATCCACATTTGATAAAAAGTTAAAATCATGTTGTGCTATGTTCAATTTTAGAGCTGCTCTTGGTATAAATTCCAGTATTTAGCTAAGGATTGTGTGGAAAGAGTAAAGACTATGCAAAGTGATATGGCCACAGATACAAACTTCGAGTTTCATTCAGTACCTACAATATGTTTAGTGTTGTACAAATGTTCTTTTGCCAGGCTTTGGTGTCTGGCTTCAGCTCTGCACAGTCAGATCTGCACAGACACAGATCCTATTTTCGTAGGATCCTAGTAACTCATACAGAGAAACATGACTATAAAAATTTATGAACAGCAACAATCACCCTGTGCAGATTTAGACTGCTGCCTCAATAGATGGAGATGCAGACCTGAAACAAGCATGAGATTGTGCTCTTGGTCATTCGTACAATACCTCTGAAGTCTATTCATTCTGCCTCAATAAATCACTAGAGAATCAAGTGTCCTTCACTTATTCAGAGGGAGAAAGGACAACAACAAAAGGTTTCAAGACACTGTCAGTTTGTGGGGCCGGTTGGGTGGCAGTGCCATGTAGGCACATTCCCACAGTTGGGTGCAGAAAATCTGCAGATTTAAGATGACAATTTTTCCTTCCCTGTGTGTGAAGTGTACATTATTTGTGGCCTTTCAAGAGCACTAACTCATATAGAAAGAAATCACAAAATTCAAAAGATGTCATTTGAGACTTTGGTCTCCCTCAGTGTCTCACTAATGTCTACGCCACTAGATGCTAGTGTCTTCCCAGCTTGCTGAGCTCCTTGTTCCAGAGTGAGCTATATTAAAGGTCTGTTTGATTGCCAGGAGCAAAAGATCCCTCCTAGGTGTATTAGTCTGACTTCTATTCTTGTATGCCCCACTCCCTTTTGCACAGTCTCATAGAAAATAGGGAGATTTGAATGTTTGGATTTTTCCCCAGAATGGGCTAGAGATGTTTGGAACTGAACCTTTTCTATTTAATTGTACATTTCTAAATCTCAGTTAAATATAGGATAACTTCATTCCTTTGTAAGCACTAAACAAGTCTCTTTTATGGCTAGATGATCTTATGCCTTTGGGGTTTGGGTTTGTATGAATAATAGGATTTTCTCATTGTGAAGCACTTGGCAAGTTTGTATTACAACAGTCAGTTTAATAAAGGATTGGGTGCAATAGAAAAACCAATGTATCTCAGTTTAGCTAGATAAATTTTCTGAACAGTCATTAAAAGAAAGTGTGATACCACCATGACTAGAGTTTTATTGCTTCAAGCAATAGAAGGCACCCTGGAAACTTGATTATATTTATTCTCTTTGCTAGAACAAATACAAGGGAAAAGTCAAACGGGAAAAGCTTAAAAGGAAGTGATTTATATATTCAATTCATATTTTATCAGGATATTAAGCCCGAGCCAAAATACAAGTACAAATGCAAAAGAGCCATACGTAGTCCATTTGCTTTCAGAATGACTCAGTATGTGTCAACAATGTGTATTTCAGGAAATGCTCAAACTTTCCATTATCGACATGATTTTCACAGTTGCAAGCATCCTGCTAATTGATTTTTTCCGTGGCCTGTGCGTTCGATATTTAAGTGATTGCTGGTGCTGGGATCTAGAAAGCAAATTTGTAAGTATGGACCTTATTATATCAAACTAAGATGCTGAAGATGGGTAGGTTTCTTCCCTCAGTACTGACTGTCCTTGAAGCCTTTCCACAGATGAATAATTTCTTGGTAGCACACATCTATAAAGGGACAGATCACACTGAGTTTAAATTGGAGGGCACAGGGAAAATGCTGAGATGAAATGTTTTTCTCAAGCCTCCTCCCATGGCTGTGGTGTAAAAACTTTTGGTCTTCCCCAGATGAGATTGTGGAGCAGTCCAGGAGACAAAGGTGAGACAGAGGGCACAGAGTTGCTCCCCGTGTCCTTTTTTCTGACACTGTAATGTCTATCTGTAACGCAGATAGTGGTCCAAGAAACAATAACAAACAGCCTATAGCCTTTTAAGAAGAGGGTAATACTTGGTTAGCAAGAAGCTGTTGGCATGAAAGGCAGAGGACTGTTCTCTGTCCTTAACTAAAGAATTGAAATAAACTAGAGAGGAATTAGCTCATTTAGTCACTGGCTGCAGAGTAGGTTTTGCTGTGTTCCCACTAACTGACAAAACCTGGTATTTGATCTGAATATTTCAGACAATATGTGAACTGATTCAGTCAAATGCTTCTAACAAATGATCTGAAAGCAAGAGTAAGACAAAGGTATTCATCCTTCACTGTGTTTCTTGTAGCCAGAATATGGAGAATTCAAAATTGCAGAGAATGTATTGCATTTGGTCTACAACCAAGGAATGATCTGGTATGTAGTCCTTAAGCAGTTTTTCTTGTCCTTCATTGGTTGGTTGCTAAGTCAATCTGATGATTTTAATGAAACCTATGAGAGAAGGATATTGGTAGTGTGGTCTTTTATATAAAGAGATCATCTGTTAATAGTGAGCTGCTCTTTACCTGTTGGGGTTTCTTTTTTTCAGTATGTTCCGTTGCTATTGAAATAGCTTCTGGCAACACTAAGCACTGACGTGACATTATTTTTCCAGGATGGGAGCTTTCTTTTCACCTTGCTTACCAGCATTCAATGTCCTCAAGTTGATTGGACTCATGTACCTGAGGAGTTGGGCTGTGCTAACATGCAATGTACCACATCAGCAGGTTTTCAGAGCATCTCGGTGGGTCAAAATGAGAACAAAAGATAACGAATAAATCTAATGCAGACACTGGAAATGTCTTTTGTGTATGTGAACAAAACTACAGGAGATTTTACCTCTGAAACTTGACAAACAAATTTCACAGCAATATTGATAGCAAAAGTCTGTGGAAAAAACATAGTTGCTGAGAAGCTGGAGGGTTTGTTAAGCAGGGCAGCTGAAGATACGCATGAACTAAAAAATATGTCAGGGTATATTCCTAGACAGCTATATACATAAATGCCTTATTACCATGCAAATCTGACAGAGCACAATAACCTACACATGTTAACAGTTGCAAAATTCTATTTCTTGATGTTTCTCTCTTTGGACTCTGTAAAGTAAAGAAATCTGTTGCATTTCACAACAGATTTCCCCATTTTTCTTCTATTGTGATGAATATCTTAGCTGTTTACTGAAAATGGAAATAATTTAGGGCATCTTTAATTCTTAAGAACCAGTTATTTCTAGCATGTTTTGAAGATAAATTGACTTCTGCCACTGTTCTTTTTCTCCCTCAACACAACCAGGCAGTAAGGTCAGTTTTTATCAAAGGCTGCAGTAAACAGTTCTCTGGCTGCAGCAGTGGTATCTGGCAAGCAGTGCAAATAAGATTTTGATCATTAAGAGTCTGTTTAAACTGTCTCTGTTCAGACTTTCTAATCATAGCAGAATGATTTTGATCTTTTAGAAATGTAGATTTTGAACTTGATAGGTGGATACAGACTTGTACCTTTTAGGTTACCTCTGGTTTTCTCTCTGATTAGTGTAATCTGTAACATGTTACACTTTCTTGCAGATCCAATAATTTCTATTTGGCTATGTTGCTGTTTATGTTGTTCTTGTGCATGTTACCAACAATTTTTGCTATTGCCCGATATAAGCCATCTTTGAACTGTGGTCCCTTCAGGTAAGTTATAATGAATTAATGGAAACTACAAAGATCTTATTTCACCTTCTTAGACTAAACTCATCAGGTTCCATAAAACACTAATTACAGATTTAATTTAAAACAAAAAAAAGTTCATAGACAGGATAGACAGGACAATGTTTTTCTGCTGCCAAAGTTTTACAGTGTAAGATTTAATAAGGTGAATATATCAGTGTTCTGAGTGAGACTCAACAATTTGCTTTATACACATAGTTCAGTTAGTTTATATTTACATAATGCAATGTGCCACTGAGCATCTAACACACATCACTGTCTTGTGCCTCAATTCAAGCATCCTCCAAACCTCACCAATGTTTTTGTGCTTTGGAAAAAAAACTGTCAAAAAGCAAATAATTAACAAGTTGCTTTTATCTTTTTTTTTTCCCTTTTACTATTCTGTTCCAAAGTAGTTTTGGATGAAACTTGCTTATTCAGTTCAACACAGCTTAACAGATATACCTAGGATTCCTTACAACTTCATTTTATCTTTTTTCCCCCCACTCCTCTTACAGTGGTCAAGAAAAAATATACGACATTGTTTCTGAAACAATTAAAAATGATTTTCCTGCATGGTTCAACACAGTGATTACTTATGTCAGCAGTCCTGTGGTTGTCCTCCCTGCACTACTACTCTTATTGTAAGTACTTTGGTTTTCACAGGCAGGTTAAATTGATTGTATTAATATTGGCCCTATCTCTGGAGAGTCAAATGTTGATACTGAGGAACAAACAGGGCATTGTTGCAATTTTATTATGCATATCTGAAAAAAAAATCCAACACCTCACTGAATATATGGTGTGTGGATCAGACAGGAATGAGAGTATGTTAAAAAGACTGTCATCACATTATCACAAGGAATTTCTTGTTCTGGGATACTGTGTTAGAGCAAGTTCACTATATTGTATCAAGGCTTGCAGTGCTCCAGGAAGTTTAAGGACCTTCTTCCCTCTCAAGAGTTCCCAGGCTTGCAGTGCTCCAGGAAGTTTAAGAACCTTCTTCCCTCTCAAGAGCTCCTCTGAAATAAAGTTTCCATTTCCTCATGGTATTTAGTTCAGGTTATGACAGTGAACAGGGCTCAGTCTGCCATTTAAAGAAGCTACTCAGTCATCCTGATTTCTGAAAAGATAAACCAATTATGACTGTCTGCTCTTAAGTGTTAATGTAATATAACTTGCTGCAGACTCTCCAGTGGAAGTCCTTTCCTACTTAGGTTCTAAACAATTGTTCACAGCTGGAAATTAATATTGACTTTGAGCTGTTTGAAATTCATTTTTCTTCAGGGAAATATCTTTCGTCTTGCATGTACCTTTGTACCATTTCCCCCTGTAAACTACAGACAAAAGGAGAGTTTGTCCCACCCCTGGGACATTTCAGACAAATCAGAAAGACCAAAGCAACACTTCCTACTTGTATCTTTCTCCCCTAAGGACCCACCCATATAAATATGAACATATTTACAAATTTAAGTAGATCTGTTGACTGCTTCAAACAGACAGCTAAGCATGTATGTAAATGTTTGTGGTATGAAGCCTAGCTATAAGACTTTACTCCATCTGAAAGCCAGTGTAATCCATTATGTCAGGCCATAATCTGCCAGGATCTGATCTCAGCTGTGCCAGGGTAAACAAGGTGTTATTGCAGTCAGTCAACAAAATTACATTGGTAGGAGTGTGTAAACTGAACTTTAAGTCTAGTATCTCTGTTCCATAACCTTGGACAGGGAAAAAAAGACAAGACAATATTTACCAAAATTATGTGTCCAGAATTAAAACAAAAGCCAAAACCAAACAAACTGAACAAGCTAGAAATTCACCCAGGGTTGCACACACAATGAAAAGACCTGCAAAAAACACAGGTGAAATTAGAACTGCTGATAAATTGGTTTTCAGTGTCATGTCTGTCTTTTGTTTTGTTTGCTCAAAAGAATGCTGTGATCCAGTATAGTGGTATAAGAAAATGCTACAAAGCAGCAACTGAACTTGTACATCATTTTGATGACCCGTACACCCTCAAAGAGAAACTGTCAAGAATGTTTGAAGTGACTCATATCACCTCTTTCACTTTTAGCATGCTAATCTACTACCTACAAAGCATTGCAAGATCATTAAAATTCACCAACAATCAACTGAGAATGAAGATCCAAGCAGTAAGTACAGTGAAGCACTTTATGTGTAATTTGGTGGGTCTTCAGTAAAGTTAAATAAAAGTTAATTAAATCTCTACAGTCACTTCCAGTGTTTCACAATGTAAAGCTAATCCTGTATATTTGCCCTTATGCAGCAGTGGATTTCCTCTCTAATCCATAATAATTTACTGCTTCTCATTCTTCTGAATGTATTTTAGGAAAGAACTGAAGATAAGAAAAAGGTGGTTCAGATGGTAGTAGGTAAGTAGGAGAGTTTTAGAAATGCCACTGTTAATAAAGTATTTGGATGCAAACCCATTTGGATTTCTCATATACAAATAAAGAGACATTGCCTTGTTGCCCATTTTGGAATCCTACAGCATGCAGGGTTTTTTCTATGGCCCCAATATTCTTTCTGCAATATGCTGTAGTATGAGGATTCACCTCTTTATCACCATGTCTCCCAGTGTGGCACCACTTTCTTTCTTTTGAACATGGTGGGTTCTGCTGCCATTGGATCCCTGACTGAAAGGGGAATTTGAGCCACTGCATTTATATAGCAGCTTCTAAATTTAGAGACCTGGATAGCTCCTGTAATCATTTCTGTTTTCCAGCCAGAATCCAAAATCTGGATGGTAATGACAAGAGACCAGACCATGAAGGTGATATTATCAGCCAGGAGTCTTCTGTTCGGTCCTCAACTCCCCGAAGGAATGGCAGTGTGTTGAACTTTGAATCTCCCGTGAGCAAAGGCACCAGAATACAAACCATTTCCCAGTCTGTGCCCCAAACTGATGTTGCAAGACCTGTCAACGCAACTCCTGTAACTTCAACCTCTTTAACGCCAGCTCCCTCCATATCAAGTGTACAGAAGCCAAGAAGTGATCTTATCACAAACAGGTAAGACTTCGTTTTTGAAATGCCATTTATTCCAGAAGCTCCATGACATACCTCTGTTTATTTACAAAACAGCTGTGTATTCAGGTTGTCTGGAACAGTAAGACAGATGAGAAATTATTTTAAATCTGTTGTGTTTTGAGGTTTTATTCCAAGGGATCAGATCAAGAACAGTTCTCAGAAAAATAAGAAAACAGAAGGGGAATGTAACTTGAGAGGTCAATTATCCGCTGCCTTTTCCCAGGGAAGAACAAACATATATTCTAATTTCTAGGGTATGTTTCTCAAAAGGGTTTTAAAAATTTGGAAGAGTGTAGATAAGGCAATATCTACTCTTTCAACCTAGTGTTTGACTTCCAGAGCAATGCATTTTTAATGTGTTTTAATTACATTAATTGATAAGTGTGTATCTCAACGTTTCCTTTCTTTTTTTTTCCCTTCCTAAAGATACCCAAGTGTTGTGCACAGAAGTGCAAGCGAGCTCAGGAGAACAAAGCCCTACACACCAGTGACTTTCAAAAAGCGCACTGTAGATGTTCATTCTGAGCCTCTCTTCAGAAAAGCCACCCAGCAGGCAAGTCCAGATGCCCTTGAGGCAGGGGCTCCTGTTTTTGTGGGACGTAGACCATATGCTACCAGGTATTTTCTGGTTAATGAAAATGAGTCCCGCAAAAAATCACACCGTTCTACCTCCCGACTCCAAAGGCATTTCAGAAAGGAGGAATCAGGAGACGTTATTGAACTGTATCCACGCAACGTCAGAAGATACGTGGTCCGAACACCACACGAGATCTATTCCCCTCATCCCAGTGAAGATGAGGATGATGAAGAAGAACTTGGGAGAGAATTCACAAACAGATCCCATCGCCCTCGCTCACTGTCTGATCTTTGCCCAGCACCACGGTTTTACATTGGGGAACGTGCTGATGGCCACGTTCTTATGAGCAAAGATCTAGCCAGAGTGCATTACAAATCTTGGGATGATGGTTTTGAGCTAGACCTGGACAGGCCTCCATATGCTTACAAGAAAGTGCACTTAAACTATCCTGAGCCACGTGTGAAACCAAAATCAAAGCAAAAGCTGGAGCAATCTCTAACAGAATCTGATTCCATTTCCATTGAATCCAGCAGTGATCCACAGAACAGCAGCAATGACCAGTACATCCAGGTCATTCATAGCAAGGACAAATATCCAAAACCTGGGACAAAGCTCACCAAAAAGAAATCAAAACCCAGTGTTGATCTAACTATGTCTGAGCCTAATGAACTGGTATGCTCGAATGTCTGAGAAAACAACCCAAACTTTTTGTGTTTTGAGCATGTGTTCGTGCAGTTGTACTTGTTGTTTGAGGTCTGTCAGAGTCATTGCAATGTAGTCTTTTTACCAACTGTGTATACAGCCACTCAAGGTGGAAAAAGCTTAGTTAGCTTTGTGTTTTACTGTTTACTGTTGCTTTAACTGATATGCTGCAAATTTTGGAAGAGAAAATTATTCCAATTTATTCCTCACTGTTATGCTGTTAAAATCCAAAAGGCATGTCCTTGGGGCACTTCAATTAAACCAGTACAAAAATGCATCAGATGAGGCTTTCTTTATCTAACAGAGTCACAGCTAAAGATACTTCCACTGAATAAATTCAGCAGGGAATCATCTTCCTGTAAATGGAGTTGCTGCTTGGAGTGTGACATCTTGATGTGCCATCTTGAATGTGATGTGACTAAAACAACTTGGGGAAAAAAAGGTTAATTAGAGAGAATAATTAGTTTCTTTAGCAGGTACTGCATGGGCAATGGAGTTATTTGGCTGTAGCAATGTGTGCCAGACTTCTAGATTAATTCCTAGATCCTCTATTAATTTTCTGGTGATATTCACCAGATATATAAGCTATACAAAGATTCTCAGTTGAAAACTTTCATACACCATTACAATTTTACACTTTCTTTAGATGCTGAAGATCATTTTGGCTTTCTGTTGTTTTGAGCTTTATTTTTCCCTCATGTCATTGAGATTACACTGTGCTCTAGCAGCCCAGAAAGCCAATAGAATTCTGGGCTGCACCAAAAGGAGTGTGGGTAGCAGGTCTGAAGAGGTGATTCTTCCCCTCTACCCTGCTCTTGTGAGACCTCACCTGGAACACTGTGTGCAGTTCTGGTGTCCTAAACATAAGAAGGACACGGAACTGTTGGAGCAAGCCCAGAGGAGGCCACGAAGTTGGTAAGAGGACTGGAGCATCTCCCTTATGAATACAAGCTGAGGAACTTGGGGCTGTTCAGCCTGGAGAAGAGCAGGTTGCACGGAGACCTCAGAGCAACTTTTTAATATCTGAAAGGCCTACAAAGGAGTCAGAGAGGGACTCTTTGCTAGGAACTGCAAGGATAGGACAAGGGGTAACAGGTTTAAATTGGAGGGGAACTTCAAGTTAGATATTAGAAAAATGTTTTTGTTGTGAAGGTGGGAGCCACTGGCACAGGCGGCCCAGGGAGGCTGTGGCTGCCCCGACCGTGGCAGTGCTCAAGGCCAGGCTGGATGAGCCTTGAACATTCTTCTCTAGTGAGGAGTTGTCCCTGCCCGTGGCAGAGAGTTGGGGCTAGATGACCTGTAAGGTCC